AAAAAAAAAAAAAAAAAAAAAAAAAGACATGTGGGTTCTTTCCAGGCTATTCTCATTACAAAAGTTCCCACACAAATGGCTTTGTGCATGGGTCTGCTCATGTTTTCCTTAATGTGTCTTTAAGAGCGATTCTAAGAACTGGAGATGCTGGATAAACGGTAAATGAATCTATCGTTGTGTAGAGACTTCGAATTTCCCACATAGTGGCCGTACCATTTTGCATTCACACCAGCACTGTGTGAAAGTCTCTATTTGCCATGGCCTCACTGACAGAGTATATGGCCACATTTTTTTATTTTCACAGTTTAATTTGCAATTCTCTTACTGTAAGTGAAAGAGCCATTTGAATTTCTTTTTTTCTGTGAACTCTCTGTTCACTTTTCCAGTCCAGTTTTATGTTTTAAAGAGTTGCTGATCCCTTAGGCTGGGAGTGGTGGCTCATGCCTATAATCCCAGCACTTTGGGAGGCTGAGGCGGGTGGATCACTTGAGGTCAGGAGTTCAAGACCAGCCTGACCTACATGGAGAAACTCTGTCTCTACTAAAAATACAAGAAATTAGCCAGGCGTGGTGGCACATGCCTGTAAACCCAGCTACTTGGGAGGCTGAGGCAGGAGAATCGCTTGAACCTGGGAGGCAGAGGTTGCAGTGAGCCGAGATTGAGCCACTGCACTCCAGCCTGGGCAACAAGAGCAAAAAGACCCTGTCTCAAAAAAAAAAAAAAAAACAAAGAGAGAATATTAAAACTTTGTTACAAATATTTTTTCTTAGTTTGTCGCTGTCATTTTATTTTACAAATTTATTTTCTTTTAATGTAGGAGTTATTTTTTTCTCTTCAAGTTGTTTGTAATCCAATTTATTTTTATTTTCCCCTTTTGTGTCTGGATTTTGAGTCATAGGTAAGTTTTCCTCAGTGAAATCTTAGAGAAACTTAAGATTATGCCTAAGTGTATTTTGTTGTATTTATTTTATTATTTGCTTTGTTGAATATGGTCTTGTATTAAATCTCTGACTTTTGCTTGTATATAAATATGATATTGGTTTTTGTCTTTTAATTTTGTAACCTAATACTTTACTAGTTTTGCCTGTTTCCTAAATGCTTTCTCTGGGCCTGTTCTGCTTGGTTTGGATGCTTCCCCCAGCAGTGCCCCAAGCCACCCCACCCCAGAGGGCTATGTCCTGGCAGAGCTGGGTTTGGTTAGTTCTGAGGGCTGAGCTGGCCCAGCAGCTCCAGACCTCCAGACATTGCACTCACCTGTAAACTTGACTATGCAAATTCCTCCCAGATGTGCCCACCACACTCCCAGTGAACAACACCTACAGGAGCTTGGGGTTCTCCTATTCTCAGATACATCAGGTACCCTATCCTTCCCTCCACCATGTTCTGTAGCTGCTGAGCTACAGGGTGGGTGCATTCTCTGGTTGGTTCCCACCTGAGTGCCTTTGGGGGTGTGTGTGGTGGCGGCGGCCAACTCATGTAATTTTGTTGTGCACGTTTTCTATGGGCTTTGTTTTTGCTATCTTAATTGCTCTATTTTTATGAGGAGATTTGGTAAGAGTAAAAAACCTGGCCACCGCTCCATCTTCCCGGAATTCCTCTCCCATTCTCCTTTAAATGTGACATCCTAACACAACCACAGCTCTTTTCCTTGGAAAGGGATGTGAAAATATTTAAGGGGAAGCTAATGGTGTGCCACATGGTATGAAGGGATTGTTTTTTAAGGAAGATGGTTGGAGGTGCTTCCATCACATGCCATTTTTTAAAAACTATCAGAAATTCCCAGATCCTTGACGAACTACACCAGAAAGATTTGCAGGAGACCGAATTTGTGTTTCGAATTTGAAGAGGGATTTTGGCTAGCATTTAGAGAAGGCCCCTTGCAGTGGCTGCCATCCAGCACCACCATGACTGGAGGGGGATGGTACCACTGAGAGAAACGTGTTGGAAGTAGAAGTTGGAGAGCTTTGCCACAGCGTGGTATTTATTAAGGTTTGTATTTTATCTAAAAAAATTTAAAATATGTTATGAACACCAGCTGTGCATATCTGAATATTAAATATTTTAAAATACCTGTCACTGGGCTAAATCCATGCCGTAAGAAGAGGTGTTGCATTTATCTTATGAGCTTCCACATCCCTGTGTGTCCCAGTTGGAGAAGCAGAAGTCCTAGACCATGTGCTAAGCACACGTCTGGGTGGGATGAAATCCAGCTGTGTGTGTGAATCCATGCTGGATGCATGAAGCTGAGGCCCAGAGGAGAAAGCTTTCTTAATCAATTTCTCATCATGGGCAAATTGTGGAACTGAGTTTTCTGACTTCAATTCTGTTTCCCTGAATTCCTCCCGTCTGCTGGGCAGCACAGGCTGTTACATAGATAAGGATAGCTCTGGGGACAGCAAGGTGGTCCCCACCTCCACTCCCGACTCCTCGAGGAGAACAATCTCCCAGGAGGACCAGCAGCAGTGGGGCACCCCCTCTGAGAAGGGAGCTGGAGTGGAGTAAGCCCTCCCAACACAGGCCGCCACCCACCTCAGGGCAGCCTGTGTTCGACTCTCTCTCCTCATCCTCTCTCTGGTGACCCTCAGATGGGCCTTGGAGGGTGGATGTGCCCAGCGCAGGTGGCGAGCTTGTTGTCGGGCAGCCAAGACCTGTCAGGGACAAGAGCCCGGTGAGCCGTGGGCTGTCGGGTGGAAGGAGAGAGGCCCCTGGTGCTCCTGCCAAGCCAAGGAATGCGTCATTGCTGTGCTGTACATTCAGCCTGGCATTTGGGAACAAAGAGGCACTTTGTATGAATAACACAGACCAGGTTGTTGGGGAAGGGATCAGAGACGGGGGTAGACCCATTTTTAAAAATCTGCTCATGTCCCAGGCAAGCTTTTTTGGCAGGGATTGCAGTTGGGCTATTACAAAGAGCTGCTGTACACGAGGGGTGTGTCTACTACTGCCAAATTACAGCAGCAATTATCTTGGGCACGGCACAGTATTTTCTCTCAGAGACTTTCAAGGTATGAAAAAATCATTTTAAAGTATAGTCTTAGCAAGAAATGACCTTTCTTTTCTTTCTTCAAAAATCATTTTTACTTTTATACTCTGTTCATGGACAGGGCATAACAGTAGCCAGATAAATGAACTCATTGTAGGTATTCATTCATCAACACACATTCACTGAATCAGGCACTGGGGACATCTGAGGAATCAGAGACAGTCCTTCCTCCTAGAGACTTGGGCTTCTAGGAACTGGACAGCAGGGATGCAAACAATATAAAGCTGCACATGCAGGGTGTTGGGAGTTAAGTGACTCCCTTCGGCTGTTGTGCCGTTCTGAGAAAGGAACATGTGTGGCCGAGAGATCCGTGGGGAGGCTTGGGTGTGGGGGGGCATCCCGATTCTAAGGTGCTAATGAGCCATGCGTAGGTTTGGAGATGACACAGCCTGGCCCTCAGGATCAGGCTGAATTCATCTGAAGGAGCCTCACCCCCAAGGCTGGGACGATAGAAAGAAAATGAACAAACTTGCAGCACAGCAGGGCATAGCTGCCCGAGGGGAGAAGAGGAAGGACAGCCTTCGAAGCACAAAGGAAAGCTGAGATCCAACAGGTATGAGGGAACCACGACAATGCTGCTTCTCAAGAGCTAAGGTGCTGCAGGGCGGGGGTGCAGGAGGAAAGGGCAAGGTGGGCCAGGTTTGGGCCCCAGACTCCCCTTTATTGCAGTATACCTTGGGCCTAATTGTTTCACATCATCTTTAAATGGGGTGCAGTGATGCTGCCTAATTCATAAGGTGTTATAAGGAACAAATGATATGACAAATGTAAATACAATGTAGATGCAAAATAGCACAATGACTAGTACATAGCCTGTGTGCACCACCCATCTTCAGCAGCAGCAGCCCTGGTTTCAGGCAGGGCTGAGAGGCCTCAGACAGGTCCTCAGACATGGAGTTTATCAGGATCCTTTGCAAGGAGGAGGGCGGAGATGAGCAGAGGCCCAGACCAGGTTCTGACTCTAAATGAACTGGGATTGGGTCCTTGGTCATAAGTGACTTGTGGTTATTACAAGAGTACAGAATTGCACATGCATTTCATGTGCACTTAATCAATGAGCCTGTGAATTTCTTTGCAGTGGCCAATAGACCTTTCTCTTCCTTCACATCATTCACACTGCCCAACAGAATGCTACACATACAATAGGCAAAACTGAATAAAAGAAGGAAGAAAGGGAGGGAGGAAGGGACGAAGGGATGAAGTCAGGGAGGGAGGAATGATGGGGAGGAGTACTTTTTCTGCGGGTCCACTGAAGGGCAAATGGCCTAAAAGTTCTCCAAAATCATGGCCAAGAATTAGAGTTCTCATTTGCTTCAGTATTTTAAAATATGCTAATTTTCTTGGTGCTCTAACTTCTTTAGGATAGGAGTGAAAAAAAAAATAAGTCCTATGTGTTCATCTATCATATATGTGTGTGCAAAGAAACATAAGAAATTAAGACATCCCATGGGTCTCCAAAGATGCAACTCAATTTGAATTCAAAGCCTACATTCAGATACGAGTGATAGAACATAAAGCAGTTTTTTAAAGCTCAATTTGCACTGCATAGGTCATTTTTTTACTTTTTCAACCTCGCCTGCATAGTCAGGAACACTGCAGCTTGAAGAGAAGGGGAGGCGAGTCCAGGAACGTTCTGCCAATTCAGAGTCCAGATCCCTGGTAGCCTCACGTAAAGACTCAGTAAAAAAGTGGTTGTCAGCTCTTCTTTTCCAAGCAAAACCCAAGGCCATGAGGCATACCTGGAAAGAAAAACATGACAGAGCAGAGAGCCACCCTGTGCCTGTGTTCGTTCCACACAGAGCTGTCCTCCTGTCCCCTAATCATGAACAGGACTCCATCTCCCAGTTTTAAAGACACCAGTAGTCACTGTCTTGGATTCCCAGCCCAGCTACTCACCAGGTGTAACCTCGCCCAAGAGACCTAAATTCTCTGAGGCTCAATTTCCTCAAATGAAAAATGTGGGTTAAAGTGGTTCACTTCTCAAAGATGTTTATGAGGATTAAAGAACAGGCCCATGTGCAGCTTAGCACAGAGCCTGGCTCCTGGTTCTCTCTCACCACAATTGAAATCAGGGTATAAAGAAAAGTCATACACCACCAAAATGAAGCCTCTATTTCCCCTTCCCGTCTAGGTCCCCTCCTGATGGAAAGCACTTCTACAATGGAGGGTGTTTCTTACCATAAGTGGCTGGGTGATGAAAACACAGCAGACCACGGAGAGGGACAGCAGGTGCAGCCACCACACACACTGCTCCTGGCCAAACCTGCCCCCAGGGAAAGTGTGGTGGTCAGCACCCTCTAGGGCAGCAGGCCACCCAGCAGTCATTGCTGCCTAAGCACAGGGACACTGCCTGATGAGGGCCCATGGCCTCGCCATGGCAGGAAGCCAGCTGTGGGAGTGGTGCTGGACGTGGGCAGTGTCTTTCTGCTCATCGGAGGGGAACCCCTGTCTGCTAAGAGGACATTGACCTCCCTGAAGCTGCCCAGTGGGAAAGAGAAAGGAAAACCCAACAGGCAGATGGAACAGAGCACAGAGAGGGGAAGGGGGAAGAAAACAGGTTGGGCTATAATAATAATAACAGCAGCAACAACAACAAAGCTGGATGCCGGCGGGCACTCCGCTGGGGCAGGCATGATGCTAACAGGACAGCTTTCATATTTCAGCTGCTCCTCCCCAAGCCCTAAGAATTAAGCTCTCTGATGTTCCTATTTTACAGATGAGCAAACGGAGGCACAAGAGAGGTCTAAGTACCTGCCCATTCTCACAGAGTGATTCAACATCTACAGTTGAGATGGAAGAGACGGGAAGAAAGGGCCTTGGCTTTGCAGCTACTCTTTGTGGTTTATGAAGACGTGGGCCATGGAGCCACACTGAATGACCCTGCGGTCTCCGATGGCAAGTCCAAGCTGGACAGGAGCCAGAGAGGCAGCATGTGCCGGGGTGACAGGATCAGAATCTGTGACACATGCATCATAATCCCTGTCCCAAAGGCATATGCTTTTTCAAATGATGGAAGACCATGAACAGCATATTCTAGCCAGAGCTCCTGGCTGGGAACTGGCTCCTCTCAGGAGCTCGGCAGCTGGGTTCCTTCCTTCCTTAGGCAGGCGTCCTGCAGCTTCTTGTTTAATATCTGGACTCCATCCAGGCCTTCTGCCGTGGCAGGGCTGACCAGGCCAAGCCACCCATTGGGATCTGCATATGATTTTATTTACCCCAGGAGGTGGGAGGGAGAAACGAGGGAGAAAATAGCAATAGCGACATCTGGAGCCTGAATCCGATGAGTTCCCAGAAATGCGGGGATTTATTTACAAATGCGAGACTTTCCATCTGAGGACCTGAGGATGTTTGAAAACCTCTACAGCTTACCTGTAGCCTAGAAATCCTGTCCCCAAACTGCAGGCCAGAGAAGTGGTCCCACAAATGGCCCACACTGCAGAGCTCCACCAAGGCTGAAGGGCCCTCGACCACCGGGGCATTAGTCCCTCCAAACCACTGTTGGGTGCTGCGGAAGAGTAGGACAGAGACAAGGCAGCTTAAGAGACCTTGGCATCTCTATCATGCGGAGTGTGGTGGTGAATCTTAGGCATCAACTAGACTGGGTTGCAGGGTGCCCAGGCATTTGGTTAAATGTGATTTTTGAGTGTGTTCGGGGTTGGGGGTGTTTCCAGGTGACATTAACATCTGAATCAGCAGACTGAGTGAAGCAGAGGGCCTTCCTAGCCACAGGCCTCCTCCAATCCCTTGAGGTCCTGAATAGAATGCACAGGCTGAGAACAAGGGAACTCCTGCCCGACTGCTGAGCTGGGACATTGGTGCTCACCTGAGGGTCTGGGGTAGGGGTGGGGGTGGTGAGCAGCAACTCCTGCCTCGCTGTGCCCTCAGAAGGCTTTTGGGGGCCTCTTCTTCTGAACAGACCTATGGATCCCCAACATCAGAGGCAGAGGGATCAGTTTCCATTTCAGACCCCAAACAACTAAGCAGGCTGACCTGGGATCTGAGGGTCTGCCCTGATTTGGATCAGGTCCCACACACCACGAGGGACAGGGCTGTGACTGGTCCCCTGTGGTTTTCATCCTTCCCTCTCTGCTGTGTGATTTCCCCAGGGCCAGGTACAGGACCAGAGGGTTGCCCTATATAGCTCTTCATACCTCCAGGTGCGGCCATCTCAGCCCATTTTCTAGCGACTACTCTTAGAGGCAGGATGCCATGTCAACCTAGGGCAATCGAGCACAACACCTTTCAACAACTAAGGAGCTCTTGCTGGGAAGCTGGTATTAGGCAAACCGAGGGACACTGGCTGAACATAAATCAAGGAAGGTGAGCTGTGGCTGGGACAGTGGTGTCGTCCTGAGCCACACCTTCTCCAAAACCTCATCAGTGGCTGGTCTGCCAGTGTGAGCCTTGTACTCCTGAGTGCTCCCTTCCAGCCCAGGCCATGTGTCAGCTTGTCTGGGAGGGTCGCCGGTCCTTGGGATGAGTTTCCCTTCTGATCTACTGCTGATACTTGTGCCTACACTGAAGGCTCACCTGCCTGAAGCCTGTTCACTCACAGAAAGAATCTTTTTTGTTCCCCACTGTGTTAGGTGCTGTGCAG